ATTTCTGATAGTTGGATAATAAACCGTTTTATTGTAATTTGTCTTTTTAAATTATTTTGAGTCGATATTAAAATTTGGAAAAGGGGGGATACCTAGATCGGTAAAATACGCGAATTTCTTCCTACAACTTCGGTTGTTGTTCGGGGTACAGTTAAGGTTTTAACGAAGCTCGAGCGAATACATAATTAGCAAAAAAAAGTTGAAATAAAGTGATTAAACAAAAATTATTATAAATATTGTAAATAACAGTTCACAAATGCATATATAGAGATATATTTTTAAGGGGGGAAATGGTCTTCACAATTTGAAATCGATCGGACACACTGTGCGCTAATGCTTGTGTAAACGCGCGCCATCTATCGTAGGATAAATGTACTTTGCGGGAGTGTATTAAAAAATTAAAAAAACTTTCCAAAGTTTTATGGCAATCGTACTATGCCACAAACCTTCGCCAGAGTATATTAAACAACTTCCCAAAGTTTCATGGCTATTGGATAAATGGTGTGGTAATGCATGAAGGACGAACAGACAGACATACATTCATTTTTATATATATAGATAAAATTGAAGACAAAGTCTGCCTAAAAGGGACCACCATTTATTTTCTCTGTGTTCCAGACTATACCAAGCCTACTATCTATTCTTGATTTCTTCTATTGTTTATTCAGATAGAGATATTTACAGTCATGATTGTTAACAATTTGAAATCATTTATTCTAATCATATTTTTCTAATAATTATTGTTTCTCTCTTCTGTATATGGTTTATCAGTAGTCAAATACGTGTTTAAAAATGAGGATTTAATTCTGAATAAAAGTTTACATTTATAAGTTTATACAAAATTATTTTAATAATGAGTTATGCTGATTGGTATAGATTGTTTTAAACATATAAATATGATAGGTTTAATAATAGGTTTGATAATTGGCCATTGGAGTAAAATTCACGAATCTGCAGTAAAATTTGAAAGTTACCACGCCTTTCTTGAAAACAATCATTATACAGTTTTAAAAAAGTCAATTACAAAGTTGTACATTATGACTGGATTTAGTACAAAAGGACTTCTGGTGTATATGAATAATATGAATAGAAAATGTAAAATACTAATGTGCATATTGAACACAGACAGTAAAACAGAAAACTGGTAATTGTATTTGTGCTGTGTTCATTCATATGTCCTTATTCATTTCTCATGTGTTTGTTTATAAAATGTTTATTTCTTGTTTTCTTGGTCTTTGGATTGCTTCCATTACTGTATGTTGTGTGTCATTCACAAGTCAGTGTATAAAGACTTTAATTTACATTTCATATACATCCTGTATATGAAATGCTTGTATATTTGTAAATGTATACAAATTTCAAATTAAAATTCTCTTTTTACAGGTTTGGAATTATAAACAACGTAGATGTATTTTTACTTTACTTGGTCATTTGGATTACATTCGTACTACAACATTCCATCACGAATATCCTTGGATCCTAAGTGCATCAGATGACCAAACTATTCGCATTTGGAATTGGCAATCTCGTACATGTATTTGTGTGCTCACTGGGCATAACCACTATGTCATGTGCGCACAGTTTCATTCATCTGAAGATATGGTAGTTTCTGCATCTCTAGATCAAACTGTTAGAGTATGGGATATATCAGGATTAAGAAAGAAAAATGTAGCACCTGGTCCAGGTGGATTGGAGGAGCACTTAAAAAATCCTGGCCACACTGATTTATTTGGAACATCTGATGCTATTGTGAAGCATGTTTTAGAAGGTGAGAATTTTCTTCAAAGATATGTTTTTCATTTATTTCAATATTTGTTTTTCAGTTATTCAATAAATTCATAATTAGCATTTTTGAAAGAAATTTCAAAGCAAAAATATTTGAAATGTTAATTTTTTACGATATAAAATAAAGTTAATTTATAAATATATAAATAACACCTTATCTTTGCCGAGAAATATTTATTTCAAAAACAAACATTTTCAGCCTGATTTACAGGCCATCATCAGCTTGAGAACGAAATTGGAATTAAAGCATTCCATTAATTTCAGTTTTGTTCTCAACCTGATGATGGCCTATAAATCAGGCTGAAAACGTTTGTTTTTGAAATAAATATATTTCTCAGCAAAGATAAGGTGTTATTTATATATTTGGTGATTTGCTGAGTACTTTATGTTAATGTTAAGTTATAAGTTATTTATGTTATTTAAGTTAGCAAATATTCTAAGAAACAGTTTTCATATATAAATATTTATTAAATTATTTTGTTTAGGACATGATCGAGGAGTAAATTGGGCAGGATTTCATCCAAAAGTATCACTTATTGTATCAGGAGCTGATGATAGACAAATAAAACTTTGGAGAATGAATGAGGCCAAAGCTTGGGAAGTAGATACTTGCAGAGGACATTACAATAATGTATCATGTGTGATTTTTCATCCAAGGTAATATTTACAGGCTAAATCTAATTCTTTACTCATTTACTTTATAATGTAATATAAAATTATATGGCATGATTGAAATAATTGTGATCAACTTTTCAAGAATCTTTTAGTAATTTTTTAATACAATAAAAACCTTTAGTTAGATTGAATCTTTGGATTACTATTAAAGTTTAACATGAATATATGCATAATCTCAATTTATATGTTACTCAAATAGCACAATTTCAGTTTATGGTCTTCAGTTTATCATATTTCAAAATATTCTTGAGTATTTTTATTGATAAAACTAATGTTTAGGTATATGGTAATTATTCTGAGATTTTAATTGTGTTGCCACCATTTTTAACTTATACATTTAAAAGAATTGCAATTCTCCATTTTATACTATCTCAACACCACATATGTGCTAAACATGTTTATGTCTAGGGTTCTATATACCTGTCATATGGAACCACTAACAGCTAACTGTGAAATCATAACCTTCAGAAAGTGGAATTTGAAAATTGGACTGACCAAAAGTTTACTTTATGTAATTGTTTGGAATTTTATATAACTACTTATAGTCCTGAATAGAACATGCTGAATACTCTATTGTAAAATAGCAATATATATAGAGTTAGTCACAATAGTTCTGTATCAGAAAAGACATTAAAAAAAAATTAAATATAGATAATAAACAAGGCTTTATAGCAAATATTATTGAGACAAGATTATCCCTGACTTTCATAAATCAGTTTCAAGAAATCAAAGAAGTTAGTAATTGAGGTGATGTAAGATTTTCAGCTAAAAAAAAAAGGAGGAAAATTATTTCATTATTAATGAATAATTAAGATAAAGAAAAGAAGTATNACCAATGACAAAGGGCACAAACGCTCAAAAATCAAAGTAAAAAAAAAAATTTAATAAAACAAATAGGGTTGTACAATAAGATGATTACATAAGTATAAAAACCGTAAAAATCCAAAATGCATTTCGGACTATTTTCCAATGGAAAAATAGTCCCTCATCCCTGTCGCTATTACCAACTGATGAGGGACTATTTTTCCATTGGAAAATAGTCCGAAATGCATTTTGGATTTTTACAGTTTTTATACTTATGTAATCATCTTATTGTACAACCCTATTTGTTTTATTAAATTTTTTTTTTTACTTTGATTTTTGAGCATTTGTGCCCTTTGTCATTGGTGTGATAAGCCCTTTCTATTATCTACTTTATGGTTATAGATATTTTAATTAATTTAAATATCTCATCAAGTTTTTGGTGTTCTCCATTCAAGAGTTCTTGGCATTCTTCTGTCATCAGATCCATTTCAGGTTCCATTATGAGCTCTTCAATGTTCTTTATTTCTCAGATGTAATTTTTGTTACTCCTTTAGCTGCTTGAGTCTTCTTGATTATACTGTATCTTTCTTAGATAAGATTGAACTGTACCTGAACTGTGCCCTACTGTAGATTTGTTCAAGCCATACTGTCCAGCAACATCAGACATCTTCTGTCCACTCTCTGCCTTTGCTATTATACTCTCACCTTTCGAAAATAAAAACCGACACAAAACATAACGAGTGCCCGCCCGGCAGTCTCACAAATACTATAAAAGAATTGTTTGTCAGAAAAATAAAAGGTTGGAATTACAAGGGAGTATTTCAAAGTTCGAGGGATACTATCTAATCAGTATATATCGGGTTGAACGTCAACATTGACGTCTCCCACGCTCCAAAAACTTACCTGAAAATAAAGGAAAATCGGTTGGTATTTGCTATTTCCGTCACTTCTTTTTATGTTTGTTCATTGAAGTGTTCATTATCCAATCATGTGTTCATTGTCCAATCATAAAAATCTTTCGCAAAAGTATTTGTTATCCGATTTGTTTATTAACCAATCTGTTTGTTAGCCGATCACCCACTGTACTGACAATCATGTGACTCTGAATGTCATTACATAATTTGTAACAATATTATTATTTAAAAATCTTCTAATCCGAATACCGGTAGAGAAGTAAAGAAAGTGATAGACGTGGCGTTAACGAGAAAGCTAGGACAGACAAGAAAAGATGTTGACCAAATTCGAAACGAAATCGGCACGAGTTAAAGGCTTGAGTTTCCATCCGAAAAGGCCATGGATCCTGGCCAGTCTTCACAATGGCGTAATTCAGTTGTGGGATTACCGAATGTGCACTCTCTTAGACAAGTTCGACGAACACGATGGACCCGTTAGAGGAATTTGCTTCCATAATCAACAACCACTCTTCGTTTCCGGAGGCGATGATTATAAAATTAAGGTAATTTAATCCGTTAGCCATGTGTTGAAACTTACAAGATTCCGCGAAGCTAAAATTGCACTTCTGAATGAAGAGTTTGAACCTTCCAAATGTTACACCCAACCCCCCTAGACCAGTGGATCTCAGTTTTTTTGAAGTCGAGGAACACTAAACTTTGGCATTTTTTTCCGTGTAACACTCACAATACATCAGCTTTAAAGCAGGGGTGGCAAACTTTTTGAAATCAAGTGCACTAGGTCTAGTAGATGACGACATTGGCGTTTGCTGATTACATTCCCATACAAAAATTATTTTACATTGTATTGATGTTTCTTTTGCAACAATTTTTAATTGTATATTTGATTTTTTCATGGAACACTTGAAGTAGCTTCATGGAGCACCCATGTTCCTTGGACCATGGATTGAGAACCACAGCCTGCCCTAGACAATAGCAAATGCAAACGAATTTTGATTCTTAGCTATTAAAATGTTTAAAGAATGAAACAAGAAGTAAATAATTATATCAAAAACATATTTTTCTTGAAAATTGGTTGATATATCCTAACTAGATAGAAGTTACCTAAAAGTAACTTAGGTGTGTTGCCCAGTAAAGCAGCTTTAAAGTGGCTGTGTAAGTGATGTAGCCCGTTTCGAATGAAATGGTGTTCCGTTAGCCTTCTTATCCAGCTGTATTAGAGCCGCACCTTTGGCATATTAAAGCAGTTATGGGCATATATAAAACATAATTTTTGAGGCTTGATATAAGCAAATATATTGGATGATAGATTGATGGTGGGTTAATTAAACAATAAACCTGGATTAACTGTTGGGTTAGAACTTGGCTAATTAATTTAATTTCTTATTACATATATATGATCATAAGAAAAGTATAGACATGGAATTACTTAATATCTGTGTAATTAATTACATAAGTTATAGCCTGATGGTTAATCTGGTTTTTGTATGACCGTTACTATAATTTGGACTTGGTATTTTATATAAAGTTATTTAAAATGTTAGGTAGATTGATTCAGAATAACTTTAAAACAAAATTATATATAAACATGATATTATGGAACCATATAAAACCATATTTATACTACAAAAAGTTAGGTTTAGAATAAAACCATTTTATTTCAAAACTTCCAAGAGATATTAAAATTAAGGGTAAGATTATAGCTCTGAATGAGACAATAGTGACCTTTCCATATGTGTTGATAATGATCAAAAAGTCAAAAGAATAGTGGTCCTAAATGTGTTCCAAAGTCACGATGACATCACCTTTGCTATGTTAGTGTTGTGGTTAGTCTTCATTACAAGTTTGTACGGTGTGTGATCGGTTAACGAACCGATAATCCGTTCCAAGACTTTGTTTGCTATTTGAATTATTTGTTAACCAATTATGAATTTACCATAGGTTTGTATGGGAATTTGATTAATTCGTTCTAGAGACCCCAAAAAATAAAAAATATATACTTTCTTACTACGTTTATTTAATAATACATATACACACAGACTTGCATTTTTATTAGTTATGTTTTTTTTTGTTTGTGGGGGTTAAATAATCTGTCTAATATCAATTGCTTTTCTCTCTTCTTCAGAATTTTCAGAATTAATAGCATTGTAATTGTAGAGATCCCCAAGCCTATAATCTCAACCTGGTTTGTATGCCATTCTAAGAACATTGATCTGACATCCCCCACTTCTTCAAAAGATCTTTAATTAATAGCAGATATCGGCATTAATCCTCTTTTTCAGAATAAAACATATCTCATCAATTGCAGAAATTGCTTTTAGCTCTTAGTATAATTAAATTAATTAATTAAAATATCTATAACCATAAAGTAGATAATAGGAAGGGCTTATCACACCAATGACAAAGGGCACAAACGCTCAAAAATCAAAGTAAAAAAAAAAATTTAATAAAACAAATAGGGTTGTACAATAAGATGATTACATAAGTATAAAAACCGTAAAAATCCAAAATGCATTTCGGACTATTTTCCAATGGAAAAATAGTCCCTCATCAGTTGGTAATAGCGACAGGTCTAAGTACAGTAGAACCTCAAAAACTCGGCTCTCGATAACCCGGCACTCCGGATAACTCGGCCACACCCTGGCAGGGCAAAAAAATCCTTAGTTAATTAATTTTCATTATAGACAGCTTTATAAAAGTATAAAAGCTCTCATAAAGTATTTTTCTGAGGTCTGTCTTATCAGGTAAATTACTGTACACAGTGTATTCATTAATTTTCATTTTCATGTAGTAAAGGCTCT